CATTTTTTTCCAACCAGGTGTCCAATAACTTTTAGCTTCTATACAAGTCCACCACATATGATAATATGAACCCGGTATCTGATGACATTTCCAACACTTTTCCGATTTCTTCTTCAACATTCTTGCTATTCTCGTCGGGGATAGATGCCACCTGTAAAACATCTTATACAAATTTTCTTTATACGCTGTTGACATTGTCATTTTATAATTTTGAGACCACAATTTCTGCCAATTCTCTAAATCAATCCCATGTCCAAAAATTTCCCCCCAAGCAATCATAGATTCTTTAACTTGTTCTTCTTCTAATTTAACTTCTAATAAATATCCGTATAGTTTTTGAATCACCTTTTCATCAGTGCCTGTCAAAATTTTATCTAACCCAGTCATTTTATCATGGAAACCTTCCATTTTAAGATCTTTATCATATCTAGAATGTATTTGCGCATGTGAAAACCAATTCATCTTTATACCTTGCTGTTCCAGTTCTTGCATAGATTTAAGTTCACCCTGTGCATTCAATATTTTACCATATCTAACTGTTTGTTCCTTTTTATATGTTATTAGATATGAAAATGCCTCAATAGTTGATAACCAGACTGGATTTTTTAAATAAGGTTGTCTTTTAATCTTTTCCCAGTTTAATAACAAAGCCTAAACTTATGGCTATTTGCAGGGTCCCATGGTCTTGTGGCATTTCACATCGAGTTTTTGCCAATTTTCACTTCCAATTTTCAGCAAAAATGACCCTTAACAAAAAGTGGGTTTGCTTTACGACTGCAATGTTCTCTTTACAACCGTTGCAAAAAATGGGGGGGGGGGAAATGGGAGTGGTCATGTGGAAACTCACTTTACACCGTTGTGACTTACTAATGGGCTGGCTCGTTTATGGGCATAAACCGAGGACTAAGTGTATTCCAATTGGTCCTTCCATCGTCCTGTTGAGACACCCTCTTCTGTCATCCCCATGTCTTGCAGATGGAAGCGAAGGATCCAACCTGATTCACATGTCGAACAGTGACCTGTCCGTCTCGATGGCCTCCTTGTTTTCAGGTAACGATTTTCCCTTCCTGAACCCTTGGTAAGGGTCCGTATCACGTATGGCCAAATAGATTAAAGTGTCAGACCTGCCCCGACTTGGTCCTTCAGGCAAGAAAGACCATCGACTCCCAATTGTAGCGAAAGGTATACTTTACTACCGTATTTTTCAGAGTATAAGACACACCTATTCCTCTCCCAAAAAGAGGCTGAAAATCTGGGTGCGTCTTATACACTGAATGCAGCATTTTTTTGCCTCTTGCAACCCCGCCCCCTTCACCAAAATGACCATGCATAGCCTTTAGGAGGTTTTCAGAGCTCCTGCGGGCTGGGGAGGGCAAAAATTAGCGAAAAATGGGCCATTTTTTTCTCAATTTCCCTCCTCCCAACCCCCAGGAGCACTCTATAAGCCTCCTAAAAACTATGCATGCCCTTTTTTTTGACAAAAATCGGGCCATTTTTTGCTCGTTTTTTGCAGGGCCCCACCCCCCCAGGAGCACTCTACCAGCCTCCTAAAGGCTATTTATGCCCTTTTTAAAAAACAAATGGGCCATTTTTGGGGGGTCTGCAGAGTGCAAACCTTTTTTAAAAAAAAATTTGCCTCTTCAAAATCTTGGTGGGTCTTATACTCCGGTGCATCTTATACTCCGAAAAATATGGTACTTTTGGTACTCAATGGCAATAAGGTCAGCCATTCCTTGTATAGGATCCCCTGCTTGAGCAGTGGGCTGGACTAGAAGACCTCTGAGGTCCCTTCCAACTGTTTTTCTGTATTCCATTTCAAATTTGACCTTTGTTTCCTCTCTATTATGTTGCGCCATAGATGCGGACATCAAGAGGAGCCAGCCCCCGAGTAAAAAGTCCTTCCTTTCCTCTGGTTCCATGTACGTATGCCTACTTCCAATGCTTCGTTCTCCCTCCTTCGGCCCAGACCAACCTGGGTTCAGTTCACAAGTAGCTCGATTTACAACAATTCACTTAGTGACCGTTCAAAGGAATTCACATGAGCTTCATAAAAGGGGGTTTGGTCAGGATAAGGAGTCTGCTTCGTGATCTTGTGAAGCCTAGGTCAGAACAGTAACTTAAAACGGTCACTATGCGAATGGCGGTGAGTCGAGGACTACCTGTATTCTTGGCGGGTGTATAATTTAGAGATTGGGGAGGGGGGAAAGGTTGTTAAATACCAACCTTCAGAAGTTCTGTGAATCGTGATCCAATCCAGCTGGAGGCAGAAGCTGGAAGCCATATTCAGGACACCTTAATTAAATGGCGATTAAATTAATTAATTAAAAGGAGGGGGAGACTCACCGGAAAGCCTCCAGTAGCTCATCCATCTCTTGGAGTAGGGAGTAACCCAGAAGCCCCCAGGGTTGAGAAGAGCATTGGCTTCTATGCTCAGGGATGGGGTGAGCTCAACGTGGACCACGCAGGAGAAGCAGCTTAAAACACGGGCGTCAGGGCACCCCAAGACACGGGAGGGGGTGTTTCGTGTTGGTAAGGGATGGGAGCACCTTCCAGAGGAGGAGAGAAGGCAGGGAAGAGAACGGGAAGGGAAGAGATGAGAAGGGAGGGAGGGAGGGAGGACAGGAATGAGAAAGAGACAGGCAGGAAGGAAGAACATGGGAATGAGATGCAGGGAGGAAGATGGAAATGGAGAGGGAAGAAGGGAGGGAGGAAGGGATAATGGTAGGTAGGTAGGAGATGGGAATGAGAAGGAGGAAGGGAGGAAGGAAGGATAATGGTAGGTAGGAAGGAAAGAAGGACATGGGAATGAGGGAGGAAAGGAAGAAGGAAGGATAATGGTAGGAAGGAAAAGGGAAGGAAGGAAGGACACAGGAATGGTAGGTAGGAAGGAAAGAAGGAAATGGGAATGAGGGAGGAAAGGAAGAAGGAAGGATGGAGCCGAGGCGGCGCAGTGGTTAGGGTGCAGTATTGCAGGCCACTTCAGCTGACTGTTATCTGCAGTTCAGCGGTTCTAATCTCACCGGTTCAAGGTTGACTCAGCCTTCCATCCTTCCGAGGTGGGNGAACTGCAGAACTGCAGTCAGCTGAAGTAGCCTGCAGTGCTGCATTTAACCACTGCGCCACCTCGGCTTTTCAATGCACAGCCGTCATCTTTTTTGACGCTGTTTTAACAGAGGGGGCCGAATTCCCGCTTTAGCGTAAGCGTATAGTCCTTTGCGAAATTTTAAGCAGCGGTTCTCCCATTTCAATGACTTTTAAGAACGGATGGACTTCAAGTTCCCAGAATTCCCCTGCCAGTATGCATGGTGGATTGCGGGGTTCTACAGGGATTGCCTGTATGATGGATTGCACCTCGTACAACGAAATTTAAGTGGCATCTTCAGTGTACATCATACATAAGAACACTATAAAAATAAAACACAAATGTTAGAGTGCAGTACTGCAGGCTACCTCTGCTGATTGCCAGCACAAGGTTGACTCAGCTTCCCATCTGAGGTCGGTAAAATGAGGCCCCAGATTATTGGGGGCAACATGCTGACTCTAAACCTCTTAGAGAGGGCTGTGAAGTGATATATGTCTAAGTACTATTGCCCTTCCTTCCTTCCTTCCTTTCTCCCTTCCCTTCCTTCCTTCCTTCCCTTCTCTTCATCCTTTCCCTTCCTTCCTTCCTTTCTTCCTTCCTTCTTTCCTCCCTTCCTTCCTCTCTCCCTTCCTTCTTTCCTCCCTTTTCTTCCTTCCTTCCTTCCTTCCTTCGAGTGCAGCACTGCAGGCTAACTCTGCCCATTGCCAAAAGTTCAATCTGATCAGCTCAAGGTTGACTCATCCTCCCATCTGCAGTCGGTAAAATGAGGCCCCAGATTATTGGGGGCAACATGCTGACTCTAAACCTCTTAGAGAGGGCTGTGAAGTGATATATGTTTAAGTACTATTGCCCTTCCTTCCTTCCTTCCTTCCTTTCTCCCTTCCCTTCCTTCCTTCCCTTCTCTTCCCTTCCCTTCCTTATTTTCTTCCTTCCTTCTTTCCTCCCTTCCCTTCCTTCCTCCCTTCCTTCTTTCCTTCCTTCGAATGCAGCACTGCAGGCTAACTCTGCCCATTGCCAAAAGTTCAATCCTGACCAGCTCAAGGTTGACTCAGCCTCCCATCCCTTCCGTGGCCAGTAAAACGAAGACCCAGAAGGGGCAAGAGGCTGACTATAAACTACTCAGAGAGGGCTGTAAAGCTCTTTCCTTTCCATCCTATTCTTTCCTTCCCTTTCGTCGTTTCCTTTCGTCCTTTCCTTCCCTTCCCACTTCCCTTCCATGGTGGCCCAGTGGTTAGGATGCAGTATTGCAAGCTAATTCTGCCCACAGCCAGGAAGTTCAGTCCCGGCGGGCTCACGGTTGACTCAGCCTTCCGTCCTTCCGAGGTGGGTAAAATGAGGACCCAGATTGTTGGTGGGGGGGGGCAAGAGGCTGCAAACAGCTTAGAGAGGGCTGTGAAGGACTGTGAAGCGGTATATAAGTATGAGCGCTATTGCTATTGCTATTCCCTCCCTTCCTCCCAGGAAAACGCTCACTTCAGCATCTCCGAGTCGCTCATCGCCGCCATCGAGCTGATGAAATGCAATATGATGAATCGTCAGATGGAAGAGGAGGAAGAAGAAAGCGACAAGGTGATACAGGACCTCAAGCAGAAGATCCGTATCCGCCGGCAACAAATTCGGACTCGCTACCTCCACCCGGCGTGTCAGGATGTGGGCTCTGACAGTGAGTGCTTCCTATCCTTTGGAAGGTTGCTCTTGTGGGCCTCCAGCAGAGCTGGCGGAAAATTCAGACAGTGAGGAGGTTGGGGAGGAACAAGGGCCAGTCCTGGAGTCTGGGGGAGGCTCTGAGGAGGGCTCTGTGTCGGAGGCAGAGAGGGGGCCAGGGCTGTCCGACAGTTATCAGCTGCCTTCGGAGTCAGACATCACTGAGGCAGAAGAACAGCTGGAGCCTGTTCCTAGTGTGCACATGCGCAGAGTTGCCAGATGAAGGGAAGAGCTAAAGAACAGGGGTTGACTTGGGAGTAAGGCCACAGGTGGATGGTGAATGGCCCCTCCCAGAGGGAATANGGGGGCGATATGCTGACTCTGTAAACCGCTTAGAGAGGGCTGAAAGCCCTATGAAGCGGTATATAAGTCTAACTGCTATTGCTATTGCTATAACGGTAGGAAGGAAAGGAAGAAAGGAAGGACACAGGAATGGTAGGTAGGAAGGAATGGGAATGAGGGAAGGAAGGATAATGGTAGGCAGGAAGGAAAGGGAAGGAAGAAAAGAAGGACACAGGAATTGTAGGTTGGAAAGGAAAGAAGGAGATGGGAATGTGGGAGGAAGGGAAGGAAGAAGATGGAAATGAGGGAGGGAAGGAAGGAAGGATAATGGCAGAAAGGAAGAAAGGAAGGACACAGGAATGGCAGGTAGGCAGGAAAGGAAGGAAGGAGGAAGAAGGAAGGAGGGAGAGAGGAAGAAAGGAACAAAAGAAGGAAGGGGATGGTGAAGGAAGGAGGAAGGAAGGAAAGAAGGAAAATATCCAATTCCAAACCCCTTCAAAAGCTTCTTCCACAAAGGTAAGTTCCTCATCCTGCCTGCAGGGGGCAGCCCAAGGCAGTGTTTTTCCAACCATGAAAACTTTTTTTAAACAAGTGCACATTTCCACTCTTAACACTCCTCTGCCAACACATGTGCTAGGGGGTTGAAGTCCACGCAGCAGCTTTAAACGGTCAAGGTTGACCGGTTTGGGGAATTCGGAGTGTTGAGCTCCACCCCTATCGCTGGAGGCTTCTGGGAGATGAAGTCCCCACAGCTTAACGTGGCTGCGGTTGACAAGCGCGGCTCCCATCCAGTGGTTTTGACATGGGTTGTCCTCTTGACCTCTTCCTCTAGGAGCTACCACAGCTTCCTCAACTCCAACTCAGCAGAAGCCGTGGCCATGGGCTTGCTCAAGCAGTTCGAAGGGATGCAGCTACCCGCGGCCTCCGAACTGGAGTGGCTGGTACCCGAACAAGACGCCCCGCAGAAGGTAAGCATCTCCGGGCAGAAGCTCAGCTGCTACTCCGACTAACTTCGCTTGCCTACTTTGGTGGGAAAGTAACAGCCTTCTGTGGGCCTTTGGGGTATACCAGTGATGGCGAACCGATGGCGTGCGTGCCCGAAGTGGCGTGCGGAGCCATGTCGCGGCATCACCTGTTCCTGGGTTTGTGGCACGCACGTGCACGCAACGATCAGCTGGCCTCCTGCATGCGGCAATGCCAGAAGCTGGAATGTTTTCCGGTGTGGACACACTGTATGCACCAGCCCACTGATTGTCACACACGCATGTGTGCCAGTAACTGGAAGACTAGGGGGGCAGTGTGAATGCGCGTGCCAGAAACCCAGAAGTTCATTTCCCAGTGCGCGCATGCGTGCGCATTCCCCCCTCTTTGGAACTCCTCTTCCGGGTTGCGGGCGTGTGCACCAAGTGCCGAAAAGGTTCGCCATCACTGGTGCATAGTCATGCTGGCCACATGACCCCAGAAGGGTCTTCGGATAACGTTGGCTCCCTCGGCCAAGGAATGGAGATGAGCAGCGCCCCCTAGAGTCAGGCACAACTGGGGAGGGATGGGGGCAGGAGCAACCTTTCTCTTCGTCCCACTAGCAATCTTCCAATCGCAGCTTCTCTTCCCCGCTAGCTTACGACAATTTAGAGGGGAATCCCTGAGATATTTTATCACCAATGAAGGCAAATATATATGTGTCCTGGGATAATGTTACAGGATAGACTGATCGACTGGCCTAGAGGTGGCGCTCTCGCCCCACAAATCAGGAGGCTGTTAGTTCGATCCTAGATGGAGGCAGATATTTCTCTCTCTGGACACACTGAGAATATATCTACTGAATATAACTCCGTCCTGGCAACAGGAAGGACATCGGGCCAGTAAACAATCTGCTAGTTCTATTCAGCTTCCCAGATTCCACCCCGCAAGGGTCGTTAAACGATGATGATAATGTTGCAGGATCCAATTTGGGCCGGTCACCGGGACCAGGGGTTTTGTCTTCCGAGCTTTCGGACTCATGCCGGAGCCCATCTTCGGACAACTTCTCTAGAATATTTTGTGTTGGTTTTCAGGGTCCGATAAAGTTTCTTAAAAAGCTTTTTAAGCGCCCCAAGTGGTATAAGAAAAGACGCCTTTCCGCAAAGCTACTGCTGGTAGGTCCCAAGGGGAGCATGGTGCCGACCGTCCGCGTGCTCTTAACGGCTTTACGACACACACAAAAAAAATGCGTTGGGAGGGCTGGTGTGGTTTGATGTGGAGTGTAGACGCCAGCTCCGTTGCAGTTGAAGGCAATAATTAGGCATGTAACCAGGGCTGTTTGCAAGGGACCCCCAGCCGTTGAATCGCCTCACTCGTGAGTTTCATAAGCGGTAAAGATTGCATCCCTGGGCCAGCATTTCTCGCGTAAGAATTCAGGTAACAATTTGAAAACGTGTTGCAGCGGGATGGGTCAGCCAGAGGAGCAAAGTCGAATGGACTTACCTACAGCGATACAAATTAGACAATAGACAAGGCAAGTCCCAAAAACGCCAGAGAATTCCCGGAAGTCTGGCGCTCGGAGAAATCAACCATCCACAGGCCCATAGAGATAAGCAATGTTTACACGCCGTTCCAAAGAGGATCAAAAACGCACCTCCTTGCCAGCAATCTACACCCAGGGAAGCAGAGATTAATACCTGATCAACAAGAACTAATAGCACCCCAGTTAAGGCACCGAGGTAGCGCAGTGGTTAGGGTGCAGAAGAGCCGAGGTGGCGCAGTGGTTAGGGTGCAGTACTGC